TGTTCTGTTGTTGAATTATGCCTTGATTGAATGTGAAAGGTGCACTTTAAATTCTAAAATTTGGACCTCCGGGAGACCGTTTTGTGGCTGTAGTGCGGAACAGCTTTAGATTTTGATTGTTACGTTACAACATTGCATCCTGGACGATAATAAGCTTATTGTGGATAATAAACTTTTCCACTAAAATCCAATAATATCGAGCATTTAAAGGATCTAAAATGAGTATTCTGGGACATTTTTGTGTAATTGCCGTAAACGGAGCCCTTTCTCGAAAATTGTCCTGGACCGGAGGGAATCGAACCAATCCCTTTCACGTGCAGACGCAGCATGTTACCACTCCGCCACCGGTCCTTGTGCTTTAGGTTCAGCATGGCAGCACGTTTACTGTGTATCTACCTTTCAAGGCAATATACATTTTTCTTTTTCTGTTTTTTTTGTGGATGCTTCTTTGCCGGATTTTCACGGGTTTTCCGCGATAGTATTTGCTTTCGAATTTTTGTCTTTGAGCAACATCCTTTCGGGCTGATAGTGTCTCTCTTTTTCAGATTTGATAATAGCAATGTTTGATTGCGCGGTAGCAATCAGTGCCACAGATGGAGCGCGCGAGGATATTGGCGAAGCGCTGGTGAAAACAGGCGCCGAACAGCCGGCCATCTTCCTCTCTGCCGCATACGCCTTCCTCATGCAGCATAGCAAGGTACATCAGCTTTTGGTAATTATCATTATTATTGTTATCACGAATATTTTATTATTACTGCGCAGTATTTCTGCCTTGTTGCTAGTGCTACTGTATCGCTATTCTACATATTACTATTACTGTTATTATTGTTATTACTATTATCATTATTATTATTGTTATTATTACTACTATAGTAATATCTGGAATAGCGATAGAGTATATAGGAAATTATTTTTGTTATTACTGCATATTATCACTTTGTTTATCATTATTATTATCATTCTGTCCTTATTTCTTAACTGTTTCTAATAGTTTCTTACATTTTTGATCATTTCACTAAGCGTTTATTCCGTTTCAAAAACTTTGAATGGTTAGATACAAACTGAAATGATAATTTTTGCGACCTTCCAATGCCACATAGCATTTTCAGCTCACAGGTCAGAATCGAGCCTTCGTTTTATCCATAGTGAACCGAGTGCTGGAGCAAAGTCCCACAGAGGCATTGGATGAGCAGCAGGCGTTGTTGGTAATAAATCTTGCAACACAAGAAATGACGCTGTCCAAGGTAAGCGCGTTTTATTGAACATGTAATATTTTAAGATTTTGTTCTTACTTTTTCTGATATCGGAATAACGTATTGTTTGAGAAAACGCAGAAACAGTATTCTCTTTCTCACATTCTAACTTAATTCATGAATAGTCTCAATAATTACATTTGTATCATTTGGTGAAGCTAACATTTTGTGACATAGTTGCCCATCGATGCAGCTGACAACTTTTCTATTTCTTCTGACCAGTACTGTATCGTCTGGCGGCGGTCAGTTTTCTGGTGACCCTGACATTTACTTCACCTTCTGAAGGGATTATCAGCTCAACAAGTCTGTCGCCAGATGCACTTCGCAAGACCTTAACTATTGTTAAATAGCCATGGCTGTGCACCTCTTCGTGTAGAATGTTGCCATACATAGGGCAGGATTAGAAGCGAACTTATAAATAAAGGCAAATTCATTACTTTTTTTTAGTAGCTTTTGCCGAAAATTTCAAGTAGCTTATTTCATGAAGATATTGAGCAGTTTTGCTTGTCACGTTCCGCATACTTTTAGCGGCTTTTACCAAATTTATCTTGAATAAAAAGAAGTTCCAGGAAG